TAAAGGTGCTTTCCCCATTGGACAAACCTGTTGCTCCGCGACATTGCCCGTCGTCGTCGTGATCGACGTTCCGCCGGCTATCCGCTGTAGAGTTCCTATCCCGCTCCCGACCGCCCTGCGCGGCCGAAGCAACTCTCCTCCGAGCAAGCTGGCATTCCTCACGCGGGAAATGCCATGTGTCCCTTGCCATCCCCGCCCAAGCAGACGCCTCGATGCCTCAATGGCTCCTCTTCCCGCCCTCGCGGCCGACGCCATAGCCAGCGTGCTTGGTCGAGTCGCCCGACCCCTCAGGGGACAGGCGACGTCGCTGCCGCTGCGCTACACGACAAACGACTAATTACAAGTTACTGCCACGTGGACGCTCTCTTCAACTTCCGCCGACGACCCGTCAACGGACCTCCCTTCCCCCCCTATGGCCAGCTCCGTCCACTCGTCCCCCCTTCTCCCGCTTGCTCCTATGGCCCTCAAGGACAGCCCGTAACCCTCCACTGACCCGCCGGCCCACCAGCCCAGCAGGACCCTCCAGAAGGCTAACCCTATTGCCACTGTGAGAGCCGGCCCCACTGGTGCTATGTTCATGCACCTGGTCCGTGTTACGGCCACAATCATGAGCATGCCTCCAGTGGGCCTACCCCTAAGATGGGCTAATTCCTTCCACTATATCGCCGTACTATCTACCATTCCTTTTCCTTTGCTTTCTTTCCTTTGCTTTTTCCTTTTTTTTCCTTTCTTTTATAAATAAAAGCCCAGGGTGTTATAGAGGCCAATGGTTGACAGGGTGGGGCCACCTCCCAACCCATCCTCACGCCAACTCCTTTTCCCTAATTCACAGCCCTAAACCACCAGTACATCCGAAAAAGCAGATTGATTCAAAAATGAGGACTTTGAGCAGAGTCTGCTGAGGTTCGTAGGGGAGGGGACCTGAGGGGAGGCACAGGGATTTGTCCAGTTGGCATGGTCCCTGATGCTACCGGCTGTCCGCCCACCTGCAGGTCGGGAGCAGCCCCCGCATGTTCTCTCGTGAACACGGTTCTGGCTGCTACGGGGTATGCCTACAGTTAGGAGTAGTGGTAAGTAGGTAGTGTGAGGTGAAATTGAGAGAAGAATATAGCTTTAAACCACCAGTACTTGGCCCATACATCGGCCACGGGCGGTTGTCGTTAACGGGCCGCAACTTCCGGGCTTCGAGGTACCAGACCACAATGGCTGGAAGCGCCAGCCAAAACAAAGTCGAAACGGCGCTGCGACGGTTCGGGAAAACTTGGCGCGCAGGGGGTCGGCCGCCTCGGCATAGATAGCTGAGCCAATCACTGGTGGTTTAAACCACCAGTACTTGCCAAAGTCATGCTCTGCATAGCACGGCGAAGATGTCCACGCCCCTTCACGTTCGCGCGAACATGTTCGCACGAGCTCGCGACCATGTTCGGGCGAACATAATTGTTTTTTTGTAAAAAAAAAATAAAATTAAAATTAATTTTTTTTGGGTTTTTTATTTTTAACTCATGATTGGCTACGAATTTGAACATCACTCCGGGCACAAGTTGCTTGCATTGTTATTTTACATAACATATATTGTTTTTCAGATTTTTATGAAAACTT